TATCATTTCTCCAACTCCGTTATTGAATTCGCCGAAGCATAGCACACGCCCTATTACCAGGGCCAATTTTTCCGGTGAAAAGTCGACTAAAATATCCATCAATTCCAATCTGTCCACACCCTGAACAACGAACCGAGATAATTCTATCATACCGAGATGAATTCCTCGGTAATTTCTCGGGGAAGCGCCACAAGCACTGGATGAGTGATCAAAGTGTTTATGTATTTTATTTATGGACCTCACAATATTGTGTATAAGTTGATCCACTCTAGCACAACTCCATTCTAGATTTTTTTTTTCTCCCTCTGACCTTGATCAGCAACATCTCTCTGGCATTCCAGCCTAATCGAGCGACACACCCGCTTCCTTCCCTCTTGTCTCATACCTCGTCTCGATTATCTTTTAGTTCTCTTTCTAGACTTCTTTCAATGACTTCTAGGCCAAGCCGCATACCGCTACGTCTATCCCCCTGTCCTTAATGCTCGTTATACGTGTTCTGTACGTATACCTCAATTGAAGAGTGTCTCTATGTTACAAGATTCCAGGTACCACAGTCGTTTCACAAGAATACCTTGTCTTTTTTATCGTGTAACACTTGTAAATCCGTTATGATTTTATGGTTTCAATTTTTGTACTGCAGCTACAGGTAATTTGTTATTTTTTTCGAGAGAGCGAATTGTACTGCGCATTTCTCATAACATGGGCGGAAGCTGCATGGAAAAATGGTGAGGAATCAATTCACCAATTGAAATTGACACTAGAAATAAATAACTAGAGATAAATAACTACACTGAGAGAAATACTCAATAAAAATTACGTGTATTTTTCGTAATTCTGGAGCGAAATGTGGTTGTCGGAAATTTTACGGAAATGTCACGTAATTTTTATCTAAAGTCACGGAATTTTTCCGCGGTGTTCCCTAATTTTTATCTGAATTATCAGCGAAAAATAACGATACCGTCACTTAAATTTTTCGAATCAACTCCGTAATCGGTAAGTGAACTGAAAATTCCGTAATTTTTACTGAATATTTCTCTCCGTGTAGAAATTTTAACAGCGATCAAGTGACATGACTGTTTTGGAGATTCCTTTGTTGACGATTCAGTCAATTTTTTTGGTGTTCTGGTAATTCTGTTTTAATTTTCATTAAAACCAAGAAAATGTCGAAAATTCAATTGAACTTCATGTTGAATTCTCATGACGGGCATGAAAATTTAAACTTTCATTGAAAAAACATGTACATTTTACAAGAAAAACCCAATTCTCTTGACTTTTTAAGATAAATGAGAACTTTAGTGACGGCCTTTGATTAATATTAATTTCAAACTCATATAATTGAAAATTTAAATGTGTTTATGGCTGAAATTACAAGAAAATTCTAACAGGCTGTAAAACGGCACGATTGGAAAAAAACCGCAAGCTACGCGATGTTGCCGAAATGTCACTGTTGGCCATGGGGAATGGTAGAGTAAATGCGGCAACACTGGCGCCACGATAACCCGCAAGATTTCGTGAATATACGATTAAAAAGCGCTTAACGGAGGAAAAAAAATGGACACCCATTGGAGAATCTCACTGTCTGAAATCTGAATAATAATCTAAAAATCACTGGATCCCTCAAACACCTCCAAACAAAGAAAGTACTTTCCTTTCCCCATGAATATCATAACACGTAGCCCAGATCTTCCCATAATTTTCTCACTGAGATTCAAAGTGCAGTAGCTTTCTACGCCGACTCCATCCAAAAGTAGATCCAATTGGCAATGCCGTTCCACTTCAATCGTAAAATAAATATAAACAAAAAAAAAAGAAGTGCATGGTACGCTAATGTCGGACTTTTACGACACATTTACCTACATCCCAGAGAAGAATTACCTCAACTCTGTAATTTTCTTTGAAGGAGAGGATAGGCCGCGGAAAACTATCGGCCGATGCGTTCCCACGCGACTTCTCTCTTTCTCTATTGAAATTCCGCTGAAGACGCGACGACCTACGCGAGGCCTCAATTTACAACAATTTTTCGCCTTTTTCAAACCATAATCAAGTGATCCTCAATCGAGAAAAGTCAATTCCATTCTCTGAAGCATAACCATATCCCGAAGTCTCCATTGATCTCATTTTCCTCTGCATTTGGACAGCCCTTCACATAATAATCTCCACCTATTATTGCTATTTATTATTATTATTTGTTATTCTTCATTATTAACGCTTTCTGTGACTTCGTCGGTCATCGCGCATTTCTGCTGGGTTATTTACATGTTAGCATGTGTTAGTAGATTTTTTATGACTGCTTCATGTATTTTGCTTTGATGCTATATTTGTTCTCTATGGCTTCAGCCATAATATCTCTTTTGTGAAACATAATGAACACTGAATAAACTTTCCACCCAACAAATCCGGAGATCTTGAATTCCCTTCCAAAATATCTGTCGAAATAATCAATCAGATAAAAGTAATCGTAGAAGGATTCAACTTGAACTTATCATTCAGAACTGCAATTATCTATCATTACTGAAAAGTTCCTAGTCCATTCTGTGGGCGGGATTCCCCTAAATTCATAAAGTTGTCCTTCGATGCGGAAAACTTTGCCGTGACACATTTTTGACAGTGACAATAACAATTTCGCGCGTGCTTGCAAGGGATAATTAAGTCATGCCCACTTTGACGTTAACAATTTAAATTCTATTCTGTCGCGTTGTGTAATATTTTCCGGAGATAATGATAATGTTAAATGAAAATTGCAATTGACATTTTCGGCGTGTCCAACGGTTAATGTGAATGCGTGGGTTGTTATTGTAATGCCTCGGTAGAATTGAATTTATGATTATGACCTTCGGCCAATTAACGAGCTCACAGCAACAGAGAGCAAAGTGATTGTAACGGGGACCATGGACGCTCCTTCAAAACCGTGCAAATGATATTATCCGTGTAACGAGTCGTTATGATAATGATAAAACTAACATACCCCTGTCATGTGTGCACTAGGAGCTTTTCACACATCTATCCCGGTCATTAAAAAATCAGTAGCACTCCTTGTTTTCACGTTTTATACACTAATTTAAAAATTCTCTGCGTGCATTTACTTTTTTCGAGACGGGATTCACTTTATCTTATCGATAGCTTAATGACGGGCCAGATTCACTGCCAAAAATTTTTATTCAACAAATAACAAATATTGAGGGACAACCAGGAAAAATGGGATTAAATATACTAACATCGGATTTTTATTAACTTAAGTTTAATTAAGATTGCTTAAAACTTCTGTTCTTCTGCTATTTATTTATTTTTATAACTCTCTATTTCGGTGGCTGGCTCGGACTTTCATTTGGACGAGTATAAAAAATTAGTTAATTGATTAATGGATTGTTGGAATTGTGAAGAAATGCAAATCGAATTTTCTATTTTTTTTTGTTTATTGTCGAAAAACTATCGATTTTTAGAAGAAATTTCATAAGATGTTTTTTATGGGAAATTTAATCAGCAACAAAAAAGATCTTTGAAGTTTTCTCCTGTGATCAATGGTTTTTCAGGGAAAATGGATAATCAATCAAAATATTAAATTCGACTTGTCTACTTTTACCAATTCACTACCGTAGTTTCTTTGTTCATTTTTGGAAAGTAAAATCTCGTTCGACTAGCGTGTTTTCATCTGTTGCCAATCTAACTCGCCACATATAACATGAATTATTTATTGCGAAAGTGAGAGTTGAACAAAAATTTGCCTGTTCTCAATTTTAAACGTTTTTCCTCAATTTTATGTCTGTTCTAATATCAAGAAACAAGAACGATTATTACAATTCATACCACTGCATTATGAACCATTTGCAATTAATTTTTATTAGCAATTCAGCAAATTCAACCAAAAAATTCAACCAAAAAATTCAAACGAAAACAATAAAAAGATTTTAGAAGAATCAAGTAAACGACTTGTTTTTCAATGTTAGGCCAAAATTCATAAACTTTTTTCAAAGATTATTTAACATTGATTTTTTTATAAACTCTATATTACTTTCATTTATGAAGGCACATGTAAATTTTTGAATTCATAAACTCCGAGTGAGTCTTATTCAAAATCATTATAATCATCAATATTTATAATGCTTACGGTACATTGGGTACAGATTCCCTGGGGATAATCAAAGCATAGAATTAACGAGATATCATCTAACAATGAGATAGATGTAATCACACGTGAGATTTGTACCGAGACTGTTATGTCATTAGCTGTCAATACGAAGGGGTCACGAAGGCGTGGAAAAATCGACTGAGTGCATTGACACCAGTCAGACATTTATTTAAAACCCGGAGTGTTATGCATTGAACATTTGGGCCAGGCCATTACATAATGAACATTTGATTAATAGCGTATGTCTGGTATATGCACATAAATACTAGATTTCGACAATCATTGATGTTTTGTGAAGGCGATTATCTCTCGCCAGCTGTTGCTGGATAACGAAAACATGAATAGCACTTCTAGAATCTTTATATAATTCCTATCAACATTTACAATACGTTCCGTACGTTTTCAAAATCAACTTTGTATTAAAACCTGATAATTTTTCGTTTGCACAGTCCACTCTGTTGATTTATTTGTTGATTGATATATGAAAGAGAGAAGCTGTAGAATTTCTCGGTGGATTAAATAAAAAATTACTGAAGGTACGACTAAAAATCAAATGAAGGTGAATCAAATTTTGCGACGAAATCATCAAATTGTTAATATTTAAATGAGTTCGTGAGAAACGAGGAAATAGTGCCCATTAGTGAAACAAAATCCATAAATATTCGCAGATCGTGCATTAATCGTAGAATCTAGGAGAATCAAACTTTCTAAAGATACGGATAATTAATACTCCGGCAAAGGAGCAAGTTAATAAATGGTACAGAAATAACTATCAACATGCGCATAAAAAACATTATTTTCCATCGATATCTCTGGAGAAATCATGTCAGTTTATTTCCTCAGAATAGAGCCAACAAATAAAGCCGATACTCACTGTTAATATCACTGTCTCCAATATATTTTCAACACTGTAAAAGCCTTCATTTCGTTGTCACGTTAAAAAATCCCACGTGTTCCCATTAAATCATCATCTCACTCGAATTCCTCTTTACCCCAGCTATTTAAAAAAGTCAGTCGCGTGTTGTTTCCCTGTCTTCTTTTTTTTCTCTCGGATCGTCGCCTCTCGAGACTTCTACATCCTGCACCCAATTTAGATGGACTTCGAGGCACTCGTGCAGCTGGATTCATTAACAGACACAACTAATTGAACAATTTTTTTTTTCTTTGGGCAAAATGATTTTCACTGATAAATCTCGTTGTTGGATTGAAAAATCACCATAACACCTGTGAAAAAATTGTTTATTGCACTTTTTTCGTTATCAATCCTGTCAGTTTGGGAATTACACATGATAGTCTGTTAACGTTGTAAGAATTTGGAGAGCACATGTGAACTCACCACGAAGAAGCCCGGACGAGGACTGGAGACTGGCTGGAAGATTTTCATTTGGGTCACCGGTATACGAACACGCAGTATAGCGGATCTCAGTTGCGTTAGGTATCCAGTAACAGTGTTGGAGTATTTTGTCTCTCACTTTAGCCATTGGAGGGGAATTTGTGCTCTCTTGGGCATGGAAAAATGCTGGGGGAATTTCTCGGAGTGAAGGCACGTGGGGACGTTGCATGACTTTTCGATGGAAATCCTATTCCAAGCATTTGGGGAACATGGCACACTCTTACAGATTTATTCACATTTCACGCGAAGCCATCTGAATTTCCAATTGATATTAACTCAATAATTGTCCTAAACTGGTGGAACTCCCTCTTCGGTGAATTTTTTTAAAATATCTCCGAAATTACGGTACATAGCGAAATTTTTGTTAAAATCTTTTGTGTAGAATTAATCGAGATACACAAAAACGGTGATTATTAATATTTCGATATCTTTATTAGTTTTGGGGATATTTTGAAAATAATTTATCTTTCTTTGTCATGTCACTGCAGAGTTCATTTTTATTTAAAAACTTTATCAAACTTTAGGATTTCTTAATAAAAGTTAAAATTTTCAAACTTATCATGAAAATTTAACCGCAAATGATATTCAATTTCCAATAGATTGAATATTCAGAGGAGTTATTACTAGGATTTTCTCCAAGTTACTTCCCTTGAAATTTCAAGTGTAATTATCTAACAGTGGAGTTACGACAGAACTGGGAGTCAGCCAGTGAAATCCAGTACAAGGAAGTGATTGAGAATTATTTATATCTAAAAGAATATATTTCCTCATTATTCCCTCCTTTTTTAATAATTAGATAATCTGATTTACGGAATTACGAGGGATGTATTTTGATTTTGGTGGTATTTTTCCTAGATGGACAATAGCCTCTTCCTAACTTTTTTTACATATCATGACGCGCTCTCCTGATATTTCAATTGGTCATTTTAGTCAGTTGGAATGTCTGATAATAATCGAGAGAATGGAAATAATCTTCCGAATATGGTATTTATAATTGTGGCGTTTTTTATTTGGGGAATGTAATTATCTAGCTACCCGGAAGCAACGTTGGCTTCCATGTGCGGTATTAAAAGTAGTACCTGAAGAAGTCTCTATCACTCGAGGTTACAGCAGGTAACGAGCCTGGCTACTGCCTCGCGAGCAATTTTGTTACGCTTTCACTCTCCATTCCATCATGCCGATTATTTCTAATCTCAACACACGCATTCCACGATTAGAAAAATATCTGCACATTTATTGAATTAGCTATCACGGTGAGAAAACACATGATTTCACAGAAGAATCTATTGCATTCACTAGGATATTTTATAAAAAATCCATGAATTTTTATTCCTATTAAGAATGTTTACTCCTAATTGCAAGCATCAAAAAACATAATTGTTTAAATCTTACAGATAATAACAATTAATAACAATTCATTAACTTGCATTTATTATTTATAGATAAAAACAAGATGTACCGAATATTCAAAATCAACTTTTTCAACTAACAAAAAAAGTTCTTTTAAAAGAAAAATGAATATTTTTTAATTAATAGAATAATCTATAAAAATTTTATAGAAATCCAATAAGTGATTCTAGCAATTGTGCAAACAAGTAAGATTTATTAAAAAACTATAAAATATCCCAGTGAATGTGACAAGCTTTTCCATAACTTTTTTTCGACGTTACCGTTTTAAAATAATTTCACAAAGATGGCCTTCACGACAGCATCAGAATCGGCGTTTTAGGCTTTAATTCGACGTAAGTAGAATAGTCCAGTCTTAGAACAACATAATGATTGTTTGCAAATACTCTCCGGAAAGGATGGGCACTTCCGCTGTACAAAATGGGACAGAGAGGACGTTTTCCAAGTCGTTTAGCTCGACCATTGTCCGAGAAGTCCCAGAGGTCCACCATTCGACAGCCAGATTTCCTATGGAGAAATAAAAATTATCGTGTGAGAGATAAAAAAGTAAATTACAAGTCATTCCCCTTCTTTCATGTCATTATTTCCCGTGGGAATCAGTGGCAATTCAGTCATTTTCCCTCCGCCATTCAGTGAAATTCAATTAAAATCAAATAAATCCCTTAATTTTCTCCCATTCAAATTCAAAATAACAATAAAAAGAAGATGAGAGCGGTACGTGAAATTGAAATAGTTTCACTGAAATTGATACAGCGAATCGTTGACTCACACTCTGCGTGAGATTGTTATTTCAAACTTCTATGTCAGGGACTTGAAACTGATTTACAGTTCTCTTATTCAACGAGATGAATGTAACTCGATCAAGAACAATGGCAGAAAGTTTCATTGAGGAACGAGTGCTCAGTGAAAGTGATAAAAATTTGTCTTCCTCGTGCTTTCAGCGAGATATTTTATGTAAATATGGAACGAGCAATCTCGTGATAATTTATGAATGACGTTAACTTAGATTTTAATTAATAATGCATTCTCACCCAGCTCCAAGGCCGTAGCAATTCCCCTCATCGAGTACTAAATAATCAACCTGCATTTTCCTGAGAGTCTCGTAGACAGCAGCTGCGTCTTTTCTACTGTAGATCTCGTAGACTTTCAATGTCCTGTCCCTGGAAACGTCGTAAATATTAATGGCTAACGTGCAACTGCTTTGAAATTCTTTCAGCTTGAAAATTGCACTTATTCAAATGCGAAACGAGTTTACATCACTAATGCAAATTGGATTCTACTACTGGTCAATTGGTAATCCTTTCAACTATTTCTCGTAATTAATGGCTATCAATGGAGGAATTATCTCGTGAATGTACCAGAAAAATTTACAGAATGGCATATCGTACTCTCTAAGATACTACACAATTTCTAAAAGATTTTCTAAATGATATTCTTATTACCCCGTCATTTGCTGTACAAAAAATTACCGATTTCGATGAACTTTTCACTAAATTTTGCATCTTCAAAAATTGTTGCGATTAGAAAGAAAAAATTCTTCGTTCAATAAGTGAACAATACAATAATATAATAATAATATAATAATATAATAGTACATCGAAGACGTGTGCGAAATTTCATCAAGATCGGTTCGGTGTTTTTCGAGAAATTCTTTCAACCCACTTTAAAAACACAGTTTCGTGGAAAAACGCGTTTGAAGTTTCGAGCGACAATACAGCTGTAAGCTAGAGAGCGGAATTTTCCAAGGCACTATCTCCGAAACTTTTACGATCGATTAAAAATTTTTAGACAATATTCTAGACCTGTACAAACTAATAAGCCAAAAGAAATGATTTTTTTAAGTGCAAAAGACTGGAGGATTGAAGAATGTTCACCTCATCTCCGTACTTTCATAATATGGATTATTAACAATTGGTCGTCCAGTGGCCAGCAGCAGATTAGCCATTATAGACATCTTTCCAGCAAAAACTGCATTCTTCGGTGTATTCGCATTAACCCAATCGAACAACTGCTCCTGTTCAATATTACTATATTCCCCTGCAAAATAAGATGAGAAAACAAAAATTCAGTTATAAAAAAATTCAATAAATTTTTCCAAAAAATGAATTTCTGATTACCCACCATAAAACTGGCGCTCCACCTGAACCCGTTGTGCCCCATGATAAGTCATAATAGCAACAAGAGTGATAAAAAACGTAAGTCTAACATGTTCCCTTTTAATTCCAACCAGAGCGAGGTATTTCCGACTGAAAACCATTCCAGCGATAATGCACAAGTGGGGAGTCATAAACAATTTCAATCTCATAACTAAAAACGCCATAACAATGAATGCACCAGTCTGAAGTCCATTGTACGCAATACCTGGCTCAATGCACTGCGAATATCCCCTCATTCTGAAGTCTCTGTACCAGAAATAAATCGCCAAAAATCCAGCCAGTATTGCAGTGGGCAGTAGAAATGTCTTGACGATAATTTCGTAGGTCTCGTATGGAAGAAAATCAAATTCAGGGGAGCAGGTGTACAGCATCGTGTGAAAATCCCTGAATCCTGATAATTTGGATCTGACAAGATTGTAGATGTGATGGTAATCGTCATAATCAATGATCGCTGATTTCACAAATCGGGCGGAGCCTATGGTTCCTAGGATATCAGAAAATAGAAGGAGATAGGGATTCCAGAGGCCATCCACGCGGGAATTCAACAGGTTGACGTACGTTGCACCCACTACCAGGCAGGTGTACATCGAATTGATGACCGTTGGGCCTTGGTAGAAGGTAAAGGCAATGGCGATTATGTGGTGGAAGAGCAAGTACAGGGTTACGTAGCGTGGAATAATCCTGAGCCACTGGAGGATCAGGAGAATTATTATTTGAATCGTGAAGATAAACTGCGAGAACTGCCAGCTGAACAGGCAGAGCTTCGTTACTATGAAGATGTCCTGAAAAAATGATAAATTTCTCTGGTTTTTTGTTTGAAAAATCAATTTTCTGTTTGAAATTAATTAAATTATTAATTTCAAACTTTTGATTGGAAATCAAGTGGATAAATTGCATCAATTTCACAATTGCTTACACGTCCTTATCTATGGAATGTGATGGCCGACTTTCAATATCTCGAAAATTAAATAAATCAGCAGTTCGTTCAATGCAGTCGCGCATTGTCCAAACTCGAACTATTCCAATTACTAAATTAGTCATCAGGCTCATCCTAGCTCCATTAAAAAACGTACAAAGGTGCGAACTTCTCGGATTGTATGATTTCGGAATCCGTTAAAGTACCCCTGTCCGACGTATTTATCTTTCTTTTAATCGATTCCCTGATCCCGAAAGCTCAAACATCAATACAGATGTGCCTAGCACTTTAAAGTGGACAAGTGTCCAGTAAATAAAAATATTATTTTGTGACTACTAGCTCGAACTACATTCATTTATCACAGTAAATAGACATCAATTCGTCTGAACCCGACACTGGGAGAAAGAAATTGTTCTCCCAGAAGCTCTGAACAGTGGAATAATGTGTTTATAAACAATTTAATTAATTAAATTGTTTCTGCTTTGAATTGCCTGTGTTCAATAACGTATGACTAGAGTTAGCTTCGTGCTGAATCATTTGGTGACAAATTGTTGTATTGAATTTGCTTTGTAATAAATAATCAGAGAAGAAACAATTTACGTACAGCGTAAGCGTTGTCCCATAAGACGTTCCTCCACGTGAATTTTCTCCTCTCAGAGGAATATTTGTCGAGGCACATGGTGACCCTGAACATCTGCAAGAGCAACAGGGGGTAGGCAAAGCTCTCCCTGAGTGGTGGTGTCCACTGGACCCTTGTGCATTCAGTGTGATTGAAGAAAAAAGCTAAAATAGCGATCAATCCACCGTAAATTGATCCACTCAGGTAAGTAGCATAGAGGAAGAGGACTGATCCAGTCATCATGGCTAGGGACCAGACAATGGCGATATAAAAATAGGATGGGACTGACAGCCCTTGGCAGCTCATCACTGTAGAGAGCCCATCTCCTCTCTCGGTCTACAATAATTTATATTTTTTATTGACTGCGTTGTTTGGATTAGATTAATCGATTGCTATTTATTTGGACTCAGCACCTGCCAGCACTGGGACTCTCCAAGAAGACCCAATGATTCTGCTAAACGATACAGCGTTCCAGCATAAATCTAAGTGCAGAGGAAGTTATTAGTTTTTCTTTCTGCCTTTTTTTCGCTATTAAATCAAGGACTTATCTGTTTTTATTCTGAAGGGGATTATTACCTCTGGAAATAAATTGTACGTCCTATCTGCATTTATTACTTTAGGATACTGTGACAGGTTGTCATTTCTTAATCTCTCGAGGCCCTCATGCCAAGTCGGAGCTTCAATCATTAATTTGTAATAATAGTAATACATTCCCTGAAAAAAAAAATCAATTGACAACTTGTTGTAAAATAAAATATGAAAAGAGTTAAGAAAGGAAATTGAATAAAATTGTTGAATGTATTTTATTTAACAAAAATCAGAAGGATTCAATGAAATATATTTGTGAAATTTTGATTCTCACCATTTCGGTTCGAAAAGACATTTCTCTCTCCATCTCGGACAGATGGGAGAAATGCCTGTCATTTTCGAAAAGCGTCGAGACGTGCCAGCGATGAAGTAAGCCGAACCCTAGAGCTGCGAAAACAATCAAGAGTTAATTACCCCGATGAAGCATTAATTTAAATATTAAATTAATTAACCCTCATTTTACTCACCCAATAAGAGGATAAAAAAGGCGTAGGCAATCCTGGCAGCGTCCATTTCTCAATTTCGCCGCCAGTTTTGCGATCGTCTCGCAGGTCTGCAATGATGAAGAGAATTCGTTAACCAAAGTCATCAAGAATTCACCGGCATCGGAACTCCTACTGTCGATTTTTGTTTTTTTTCTGTTGTTCTAGCTATGGAACTGACATCTGCAACATTTTAAATTCCCAAAAACACGCCCATGCTCGGTGGATACCAAAGAGGATTGACTAAAGTAGAGTCTCAGTTCTGGGGGTGGAGTGACCTTAGCGGCATCGTAGTACTGCACCCCAAGAGCGGGAGGGCGCCACACGCAATGGGGGTGTCTAAGGTATGATGGAAGGAGGTATTGCCAAGCTTTGATGTCGCCGACACCAAAACAGGAGACAAGTACCTTCAGACGTCGTACGTAGCGCTGTATAACGCCTTCTCCTCATGTGCGTTTCGTCCCCACAATTCAGCGATTTCTGGCGTTTACATTTGAATGCCAGTCGAGTTGTTTGATTTTTTTTCTTTCAAATTGACATGAAAAAAATGAACAATGGGTATATGATTATTTCAATAAGAGAGATTCTGACCCAGTATTGACTATTTTTTCATAAATCAAGTAATTAAAGTGAAACTCTTTCCACGTCACCCAAGAGGTAGAGTCCTTGGAAACAAGAAATGAAAAACAATTCGAGTCAGAACTAATTCTGACGACAGTGGTTCTGATGACGAATGATTTATTCTCATTCGATCGAATTTTCCTAGTTATTCTCATACCTTTTTGTATTATTATTATTTTTTTTACGTCACGCACACTGATAAATGATAAATTACGAATTGAATCAATCTGATCGAACACAATAAACATTTATTTACGGGTTTATATTGAATTTTTATTTGAGTTATAAATACCTTCAGCCCTCCTCATAAGTAAAAACTGAAATATAAAAACGTTTCATCAGGAATATTATGGAATGATATGACTTTTACATGACCTGCATACAGAAATAAATTTATAGTAGTTTTCAAAAAGTGCACTATCCACACACACTGAAAAGACACACAAAACATTGGCTTTTAAATATGTATTTAATCGGTAAATACTACGAGTATTAGGCTATGGTGCATTTATCTGGATATATGAAAGTATTTTTGAATGAATCTTTTTGTTTAGACTCATCTCGCTCATCCCACAGGGTCTTCCCATCGCAGGCACAAATTCTTTTCATATTTTCGAAGACTCCTGAAGATCTCGCGATAATTCCACACGTTAGTCTGTGGAATAAATTATTAAAAGTGTGGAG